GGCCGGGCCCCCAGCCTCTAATCCAGCAGCTTCACCCTCCCCGCAGCTGTCCTCGCCCCATGCGCAACCTGAACCCACTCCCTCCCCGCCTGGGGTCAGCCCTGCCGGGCAGGCGCTGCTGCCAGGGTCCTGCCGGAGCTTCCAGAAAGCCTTTAGTGAAAGCAAACGGCCCCACGCTCAGCAAAGCCAGTAGCAGCCAGCCAGCGCGCAGCCCACCCCGAGGACTCGCCATCCCCACCCTACCCCTCGTTTCCCCTTCCACCAGCCACGGGGCAACCCTTCCTGGGAACTGTTTTGGCAGTAGAATATTAACTCAAAATAAATACATTTGTATAAAAGTCAGTGCTGGCAGAAGGTGTGTCACAGAGAGGCCCAGGAAACAAATCCTTCCTGGGGGCCACTACCGCCAGCCCCCCCTCCAAGCTGACCCCGCACGGCTCCAATCTCAGCCCCGCAGCCAGGGCTGGGGCTGGGCTGTGCACGGATGCCCCCATCCTGGAGCCGGCAGCATCCTGCCGGACGATGGTGGGGAAGACAAGGAGGGAGCAGACTGTGAAACAGAGGGGGTGGGAGGAAGAAGAATGGAAAGAAGAAAAAAACCAACCACATTTCAAAGCATTTTGCCTGGGAGGGAAGGAGGGAGGGTCCACAAGGACTCCAGTTCAGCCTGAAATTTGGTGCAAAGCCTAAGACAAAAGGAAAACCCTTTAAACGAAGCGAGGCCAAGAAGACTTTCTGCTCAAGCCTGTTTAGAGAAGGCCATGTTTATTAAAGTATAAGCAAAAAAAACCCCACGTTTGGGCAGCCCTGCCAGGCTGTGCTGCGAGTGCAGCTCTCGAGCAGCGGTGCCAGCCCTCGGCTGAGTCCTGGTGCCGGTGCCGCAGCCTACGGCCTCAGCTTGGCCATAGTGGAGCGGAGCTGGAGCGTCCCCTCCGCCCACGAGCCTGGGTACTGGCGCATCTTCTGCCACAGGTTCAGCTCCTCACCCGTGGAGTCCATCCAGTCCACAGCCTGCCCGTTGCTCATGCCTGGGAGAAAGGATGGATGTGGGCAGAAGTCGCTGCCAGAGCAGCCACCTGCCCGCAGCGAGGCAGCCCCAAGCAAGGCTGCTTGTCCCAGAGTTTGATGGGACCCCAGGGCTCCTCACCGTTGCCCACCCCCAGACGGACACCCCCGAGGAAGTCGTTGCTGGACAGTGGCTCCCGGTCCCAGACCGTCAGCTCCAGGCAGATGTGCTGCAGGTCCTCGGGGTTGACACCGTTGTAGACAAAGGTGTGGTTGTAATGAGGGTTCAGGGTCTTCTTCACCACAGGCGTCTTCCTCTTGGAGGCTTTGTTTTTGTGTGGCAAGAGATAGCTGGGGGAAGCAGCCACTCGGGTTAGCAGCACGTGTGCAACTGCCTTCTGCCCCAGGGGCTGGGGCACCTCAGCACCCCAGGACCTGGTCTGGAGCCCACCTTCCCTGACATGGCCCAAGAAGAGCCACGGTGGTCTGCAAGGGGCTGGGTCTCTGCCCCAACTCCTGAAAAGCCCCTCGGCAGACTGCAGGTGGTCTAAGGAGGGGAAAGGGCAAGGACCACAACCTGCTCGCCCCCAGCCACGCTGCCCAGTGGCTTGGTGACCTCTGGGAAGACAATTTGATGGCAGATGGAGCCCTGCCCTGCATGCAGCCTCCCACTGCGGCTTCTCAGCCGGCCAGAACCTAGGAGAGCATTTGCTACCAGGAGCATCTCTTCTCCAGGCAGAGACAGGCAGACAGTGACTTTCAGGGTACCAACACAGGCAGCGTGGGGCAGCTAGCGGAGAGAACTGTCCCTCCCCAAGGCGGCTCTGGGATGCGGCCAGGGAGGATAGTGCTTTTATTGCACCCCCACGCAGGACCCACACTCACCCCTTGACAAAGCTGTCTGAGGTCCCCCCGGATTTGGCAGCTGTGAGGTTCTTGGCTTCTTTGATCCAGACCTGGAGCTCACCACCTTCCCCCATTTTGCCTGGGAAAAACCCAGCACAGCAAGAATTAAATCAACCTTAATTTCCACCACCACTAACTTCTGGGAAGGTCCTGTTGAACAGCCTTCATTGCAGAGGCAGGTACAGACCCCCAGCTGGTATCTCCTCCTGCCTCCTCCCTTACTGGCCCTGCCTGCTGAGGCGAAGGCAGACAATTGCTCCATGCGGGGCCCGATGGTCCAGCCTAGTCCAGCCCCAAGAAAGCACTGGGACCACTCAGACAGCCTGAGGACAGCCAGGTCTGCCCTGACCCAGAGCAGCCTTGCGGGTGCTGCAGAGGAGAAGGCTGCAGTGGCATCACCTAGGAAACCCACCCAGACCTAGCTCACGTGGCCACAAGCAGGTCCTGCAGGCTACACAGAGATCCTGGAGCTCCAGCACTCACCCTTCCTGCTGTTCCCAGCCCCAGGGTGCTTAGAAGACGGGATGTACTTCATGGAGACGACCAGCTCCCCCTTGTACTGGTGGAGACCAGCAGCATCCGCCCCAATCTGCAAAGAGGCAAGGCTTATCAAACACTGCTAGAGAGGCCAAAGCAGACATGGTGATGGCCTGGTCTGCATGCAGCACTTCCCCATGCCGGGCCAAAGAGCTTGGCTTCTCCTAGAGGTGGTTTAGCCAGGACAAATGCCTGCAGGCCCTTCCCAGCATCACCAGGTCAGACTCGGACCAGCTCCTTTGGGATCCTACTTTGGCTCAACCAGCTCCCTTAGGAAACCCTGTTTAGGGGTTTCCGCAAGCTGCTCGAGCCCCAGCAAGGCCAAGGGCTGAGCCGACAGTACAAGCTAGTCAAGAGAACCACTTTTAAGTCCAACAGCAGCATCTGCTGTTGCCATCAAGCTGCACAAAGGCCCTCGCTGCACGGGTCTGCAGCCCGCAGCAGGATGTCCCAGCCAATTTCCCCCATTTGTTTCCCTGAAGTTGGCTCCAATTCCTCCTGGCCG